TTTCCAGCCGATTCCTTCTTCGGCGTCCAATATAAATCGAGTTTCATTTTAAAATCATTAATCCTCCTGCAACATGTTTCTACGTCATTTTTTTTTACTACCAAAGTTTTTAAGAATATTTTTGACTTAAGTTCTTAGATCAAAGACAATTCCACACATTTTCCAGTACTTTAATTTGAAGGTCAAAAATACACCGTTTAAGAACGTTGTGACACAAATAGCAAAAGATAAGATTCATCCAAATTACTGATATTTGATACTACCTACCAACTAGTCATATAGGAAGAAAATGAGTAACTACCGACACCGAGGTTCGAACGTGACACTCTGGACTTATGAATATATGTTTTCCACTAGGTGTATAAATAGCGGTGTCAGGCTACTGACTGCAGTGATTATTGAGTGACTATTGAGTGGAACTATCCAGTCGAATCAGTGTGAATTATTGTGCGTCGATGATTTGGATTTAATTTAGGATTTACCGGACGTTAAACCGAGCCGCGCCACTAACAAGATATTCACTGAAATGGTTAATTATCTTTGGTTGACTTTTAGTTCTTTGTTCTTGTTAAGTATTTATTTGTGGTTGTAATCAAATGCTTCTTTATTTTAACATTGAAGTCTTGAGTTATACGGCCACCGTACGTCAAAAAACAACTCAAGAACAAATACAAGTGAAAAGAATTTATCAAAACTTAATATAAAATTTGTTACATTTATTTAAAATACAATAAGCGATTTAATTAAATCAAATAAAAATGATGATAAGAAACAGACTAAAATGTGAATAGACTGTAAAAATGTCACAAGATTTCATAAATGGTATCACAAGCTTTCCATAGACTCATTGAGAGGAATTTCTGGCAGTCCATGCCTTAAAGAAATACAAAACGTTGTACTAACAACTACAGCTCACACATTATGAAAAGCTTTATCTATGTAAAACGTATCCAGAAAATTGTTAAAAAATAATTGTTCTAATCATAAATTGTTTGAATGAAAATGAATCGAAAGGACAATTATATTAAAAGATAATTATTCGAAATCGCATGTTTGAAATACATATGTGGTCTTTGCTTTGAGAGAGTCACTGCTGATTTATCGAGAACTACTAGCGCTTTTGAAGGATTGCATAGAGTTATTTTGCAGCAAGTGCCATCCCATCATCCCATTATATGGAAATTCTTAAAAGAGATCAGGACTTGCAAGAAATTCATATTGCAAAAGTAAGAGCCAGTTGCCAAAATATCAAGAGCACCAAGAAATGCCACGATGTAAATGGAAGACTTAAAAACTTAGTAGCATCCTTTAACGAGTACTCTTTAATAGTTGACTAATTGCGTGCATTATCATAAAACTGAAGGATATAAGGATTTTTTTGCTTACTAAATTGTTTTATTGATGATATATGTTTTTCAAAGAATTATCATTTGTGTTTTTCCTCTTTTAAATTTTTAATGCAATAAAGTATTTTGTATTTCGAATAATTATCATTTAGCATAATTACTTTTTGATTAATTTTCATTCAAACTATTTACAATTCTAATAAATATTTTTGAATAATTGTCTTCGAACAATTATATTCTAACAATGTTCATATAATCATGTAAAATGTGAGAGATCTTCGTTGATTTTTTTTGTTGCTTTTTACAAAAATGATCAGTGGAAACTGTCATGAAACCATATCTGATCTTAAGTCTCCAGTTGGGACCCTGAAAGAAATGTGTATCAACAGAAATCAAAATAATAATAATAATAATAATAATAATAATAATTAGAAATACCCTTGATAATGTCACGGTTTTCATATTTAAATTTTCTGGTGAAACTATTCTTAAGTTAAAGATAGAATAAACTACTTGCGAGATCCTGGGTGTGCAGGCGGTGTAATGGATAGCGGCTCGTAATGAGAAATATGAGAAGCGAGTTCGAATTCTAGTCGAGATCGTTGCATTCACTTACGCAGTAATATATTTGGGAAAAGGTATGATCCCTCTATTCATACCCCAGATAGGACCTGTATCTGAATAAATAATTGTTATCTTTGAAAAATTGTTAGTGCAAAAATTCACGACGCAACAAAAAAAAACTACGCTTACAATCTAGAAAGGATATTTTGGCTTTAAATAACCCACAAAAGGTTGATAAACTGTAAAAAAGTCAATCAATCCTTGTGAGTTCTAAGACTATAAATTACCTGTCGAAATTCTTCTATTGCATCTATTAATATTTAAACTTAACAGCTTTTACGAAATGTTACAATGACAATCATAAATATTAATGGAGGTCATGATTTCTAGAAGTAAGAGGGTACAAATGAAAAAATTAAAAAGTTTTTCTATTTCACTGAAAAAGACGTTAAACACATAAGAGTATTATCAGCTCTTCTTTCTTTCTTTCTTTCTTTCTTTCTTTCTTTCTTTCTTTCTTGCTTTCTATTTTCTCTCTGTCTTCCTATCTTTCTTTCTTTCTATCTTTCTTTCTTTCTTTGTGTCACTGAAATCAAATAGCGTCTCTTATATGTCTTTTCTGTTTCCCCTCGTGATCAAAACCAAATGAGCTATTTCATGTAAAACACATTCTAACTAAGGAACAGAAATAATAATAATAATAATAATAATAATAATAATAATAAATTGTTATTAAAGACCACAAACAAAAACGGTGCCTTCTTCTTGATATGGCAGTCCCTGCTGACTGCAATGTATCTTTGAAGATATTCAAAAAGCTGTCAAAATACAAGGACCTTGAAATAGAAATCTCGAAAATGTGGCATATGGGAACATCAACAATCCCTGTTGTAGTTGGAGCCCTAGGACTGGTTGGAAAAGATTCCAGTAGACTAATTGAAGGGATTCCTGGAAGTCCATGCCTCAAGGAGATACAAAAAATTGTTCTGACAAGTACAGCCCACACTTTACGAAGGGCTTTATCTATGTAATTTTTTTTTTTTTTTGTCAGTGGAAAGTGTCATGATGCCATTTCTAACCTTAGGTCCATGGGCTGGACCCGGAAAGAAATGTGTAAACGCCAGAAATCAAAGAAAATAAAAATAATAATAATAATAGCAATAATAAAATGACTTCCAAAGTTCTTATTCTTAATTGATTGTAGGTGAATTAAGATGTGCTGCAGTAAATCTCTTTCTCAGTTCTACAGATATCATCTGCCCTACCTGGACCAGCTAAGCATGTCTCCAAAGAGCTGACGTACTGTTCATCTCTGTTTTTGAGCAGGAATAGTGAGAGAATATAATAGATGGATGTCAGATGTTAAGTTTGGATGATGAGGCAATCAAGTTTACTTGGGAGTCACATCTGGGATCATTGGAAACGCCCTCAATCGAAGACCGTTTCATCGGACTGGGTAACCAAACCTGAAGTCATTTTTAATTGGGCCTCACCTGGAAGCTTAAGCGATTTTTTTAAAATCAAAACCCCTCACTATATCGCGCGCGTTTGGCTATGATGCATGTGTCTGGCATACCCTTATCAAACTGGTTGTCAAGTTTGGTATATTCGGCTTTGTATATTTCTATCCCAGCATCAATTTGTTGGCGTGTTGCCTTTTCACTCACTCCGACCAATACTACCATTACGAATACTGCAAATATTACTACTAATGTCTAGACTCCTAATATATCCTGAATAGCTCTTTTAGCCCCCGACAGACTCTTTATCAGTTTTGGATATCAACCCTATTTCGGTGCAAGCGTTTCATCTGCAAATATGTGACGGTATTGCATACTTCGCGTCGGATACCGAAATAGACTTAATCTCTAAGCGTTCTCTTGACTAAAATCCCACGTACGAAATATAGTTCCTAATTTAGGGAACAAAATTAGAAGAAAAAACGATATTGATCATCGTGATAAACAATGATGACGATGATGATGATGATGATGATGCCACTGGGATTGGGGATCAGAACTAAAATACTGGAAATAATTGTAAACGGCATTCAGTCTTTACAGAACAAAAAGTACAGTTTAAGGGTTGTTTTCTTTACTTTTATTTATTTATCCCAGCGCTTTGAATGGCGCCAAATACTATGTCTTTCTCGACTTATTCTAGTTAAAATTGCTTCAGAGAAGATGCAACATTTTCTTCTCTCCATAGGAAGGATTTTGGTTGGTTAATTTTGTTTAGCGGCATATTAACACCTCTATGGATTATTTAATGTCAAAATCTAAATATTATGAACACAATTATTGTTGTGGATTCCGAGATGAAATCCGGTCTCAAAATGAATGACAAACGCAGGAATGAAATATAGCAAATAAATGTATTGACGTAATAATACAATTGGTAATACGGTTAGTAGATCCAGAAATGCGGTTAGTAGCAATAATAATAATAATAATAATAATAATATATATATATATATATATATATATATATATATATATATATATATATATATATACAGTCTGGGAAATTCAGTATCGAAGTATGACTTCCTTCTGAGTCTACGTGCTCGCAACTGTGACTCTTACAAAGCGGTTACCTCACACTCTCACTTCCTCTATTACTCTACCTCTTCCGACTTCCGGGTATTCACCGGCAGTAGTACACACTGGTCCACTTCACTTGTATGAAAAAGGGGTGGACCACATAACAATTATATGGCTTCAACTAAATATATTTTGAACGCAAATTGTATGCCTTCAAATAACAGATAAAATGTATTGTTGCTCATTTTGCTATAAAATGTATTTTTGGTAATTCTGCTATAAAAATGTCTTACTGGTCATTTTGTTTTAAAAATTGTTGGTAATTTTGCTATAAATAGATATTGTTATTTTTTTTTTAATATAAAAATCGATTGCTCGTATTTCTACAATAAAATGTGTTTTTATACTTTCATAATGTTTTTGTTTGGGAATTCACTTTTTGCCTATATCTAGGATCCTAACAGGTGCTACCACTCCGAGTTAGGGTGGACTTAGGTACAACAGTAATTAAGAGGTGATTTTACGCTCCACAAAATCTCCAATTTCCCTTTAGAGGCATTGCTGCTGGATATAGTCTATCATCATACCCAGGAAATAGAAATGACGAGATCAAATTAAGTCCTGGCGGATCTTAATACAAATATAACATCGAAATCTATATAAATACTTTAATTCTATGTTTGATGTAAATAATCTAATTCTATTCTATAGAAATATAGTACAGAAATTTAGAGTATAAAATGCAAAATGATTCAATGAGAATATATATTTCAACGGATTCGGGCAAACGAAATGAATTTGATCAGGTATTGAAATATGAACGCCACTCAGATGCGTTTTTAGAGAATTGAAAAAGGTAAACATTTTAAAATTCAGATGGATCACACTTTCCATACTAGGAGGCTGGTCTCGTCATCGTGAGCAAATAAAAAAGAAAAGATGCCAGATCTGAAAGCAGACGAGAATGAATTTGAGAGGGAAAAGCTGAATATCTGGATCGTGCTAGAGAAATCCAAATATCATAGAAAGTGCAAATAACGAATGTACTCAACATTATTGGCGAACCTGGAACAGTGCCCAAGTGACTTGCAAAGAGGTTGGCAAAACTGGAAATCATCAGAAGACTTGAAACGATTCAGATACAGGGGAGGCTGCTGGTTATTTAAGGATATTTTTTTTATTATTTAACCCACAACACTGACAGCCAATAAACACCAGGCATGAACCCGTAAATACAAGAAAGCAATAATAATAATAAGAAGAAGAAGAAGAAGAAGAAGAGGAATTTTTAGACCACAGAGATATTTAGTGTCTGCGAAAGGAAGACAACTGAAGATTTTAGAAATTTACTATCACTCAGTCTCCAGCAATAATCTGGGGTTAGTATGCAAATGAAATAATAACACTACTGCTACTACTACAGTTCTTTAACGAAACCTATTGCTATCAGTTACGTTTTGTCTGCTTGATGTCTCTTGAGGTTTCTCGTTGAAACTTGGAGGCAGCTCGTATAGTAAACGAGCAGATTCCAAACATACAAATAATAATAATAATAATAGCATTAGTATTTTTCTCTCAGTATTCATTATTAATATAAAACGGCGAGAAAACCATTAATACTACTGCTACTACTACTACTACTAATATAAGATGTTGCAGAAAAGCTCTTGAACTAATGCCTGACATCAGTATTTGAAAGATCACATATCATAATTTGTTGTAAAGCTTAAAGAAACATGGGAGCAATATTCCATGCCATCTCATAGATATAGCAGTACTTTGAGATAAAATATATATCTATTAAAGTATATGTCAAAATAAATAAAGGAATATTGAAATGGAAAAAGATATGGTAGCTTAAAACTACTATAATACCTATTATTATAATACCTGTTATTATACTTCCTATTATTCATATTATTAAAAGTATAATAGTAGTTTTAAGGCACCATATTTTTTTAATTAAGCATTGGGTTAAGGTAAAAAAAAAAGATACAAACAAGAACATTATCAGAATTCCTAGTAGAACCGATTTACAAGATATTCAAAAAAATGGAATCGCTCGTTTATTCAAGATACTATTAATGGAAAAAAATATAAACACTACATGTTCAGTATCATTTAATGTTTTCAAATAGAATGCATATATATATATATATATATATATATATATATATATATATATATATATATTTTACTACTTTGCCTTAACATAGGTCTTCAGTAATGACACGGTAAGAGATTGTACTAAATAAAAAGCTACAGAAAATAATAATAATAATAATAATAATAATATTAATAATAATAATAATCACAAGTAAAGCTTACGAAGGGCTTTATCTATGTAAGGGTGTTTTTTTCCTCAAAAAATGCTCATATCATGATGCCATTTCTGACCATAGGTTTCTGGTTAGTATCCGGAAAGAAATGAGTATATGCCAGAAATGAAAGGATATAATAATAATAATAATAAGAAGAAGAATAATAATACAAACAAAAACGTGCCTCCTTATTGATATGGCAGTCCTTGCAGACTGCAATGTATCTTTGAAGATATTCAAAAAGCTATCAAAATACGACGACCTTGTAATCGAAATCTCAAAAATGTGGCATATGGGAGCATCAACAATCTCTGTTGTAGTTGGAGCCCTCGGAATAGTTGGAAAAGATTCCAGTAGATTAATTGAAGGGATTCCTGGAAGTCCATGCCTCAAAGAGATACAAAAAATTGTTCTCACAAGTACAGCCCACACTTTACGAAGGGCTTAATTTTATTGTTTTCTTGTCAGTGGAAAGTGTCATGATGCCATTTCTAACCTTAGGTCTGTGGGCGGAACACGGAAAGAAATGTGTACACTCCAGAAACCAAAGGAACTAAAAATAACAATAATAATAGCAACACACAACAACAACAACAACAACAAAAAACAACATTTCACAAAATTGATTTTAAAGATATCTTAGCATTGAAAATATTTTTATTTGATTTTTACCCTTGTTCAAATTCTGTTTTCTATCACATCTTCACAGTTCTTAAAAGAAAGACA